GGGCCCCAGACCAACACTTGAAAAAAGGCTAATTAGCATTTGTTAGTTCCTCAACAAATGAACAAAATACACACAGAAACTCACTTGATCACTTAGAAAAACTAGATGCCACCTTTTATTAGCTTTTCCTCAGTTACAATGGTTGACAGTATTTTGGAATTTTATGCGTATATGATCTCCTTCCAAAACATAAAGTAAAGGTGATATTCTTTATGCCATTTATAGCATCCCAGGGTTCCTTTTTTCTCCTTTGGCTGGAAATCTCACCGCACTCTTCCAAAACTATTACAAAAAATAAATCATAAACAGAATTGAGGTTTTGTGTGTTTGGCTTTACTTGGTTTGTATTTCTGCATATGAATCGGTTCTTTAGAAAATACTTTAACCTGCTTTTAAAAAGAACATTTTAAAGTAACTATAAACGCAGTCATTTCATTAGAATCTCCAAAAAACTATTAAGTATTTGGGCTTTGCATGTCATTCCCGGGTGTTATTTTTCTTTGGATTTCAATGTGATTATAAATTGCTATGGTTAATCTCTCAGTCTATTTTTAATACAGATTAGATATGAAGTTCTTTTGGGAAGCTTTGGAGTGTTGCCACATTACACTGACTCTTGCCACAGCGTATTATTATCAGAGCTTTTTTTAATCTTTTAAACAGAATGCTTTGCCAGCTTTCCTTTACTACCACTAAAGAATGGAAATTACTGCCTTTACCTTCTTTGAGCTGAGCCAAAGAAGGTGATAAAGAACAAAGTTCTTTGTGACTTAGAACATTTACAGATCTGTCTTAAGGAGCTTTTGGTAATGATGTGCTTGTATTTTTCAGCTCGCTTTGATGAGATCAAGTTCATTGGGTGACTTTGCCTGGTCTCAAAGGTAAAGATATTCATTTATTGTTTTGGTTTCTCACCAACATATTTAGGGACACAGCTCTCCAGACTTATTTACACACACACACACACACACACACACACACACACACACACTTACAATACTACAATTTACATAAATGTCAGCTATTTTAAATTGTGGCTGTTTTTTATTTTCAATAAGTATGTGACAAATATGATACTTTGCTCTTTGTGCATTGTTTTTTAAAACTTTTTATATATTTTATTACAGAAAGCTTGTTACTGTGGAGAAGCAGGATAATGGAACCTTTGGATTTGAAATTCAGGTGGGCAGTTTTCAAACTTTTCATAGACAGTGGCTCCAGTAGTGTCATGATATTTGCAAAGAAAGAATGAAGTAAGGGTTAGAGGATGATGGGAGACTGTGATTTTTATTCAGTGTGTGGTTATTTTGGCAGTTCTTAGTGTCTTTGGTACCATCTAGGAAAGAAAACATTGAAACACATAAACTAAAACCCCTGAGACTTGCTCAACTCCTTGTTCTTAGTTGCTTCAGTCTCCATGAAAGTCTGAGGCTGAGCAGAAATGCTCAACCAGATCTTTTTATTTTATCCTTATTGTTGAAAGTATTACATATGTTCCATGGCAGGTCTTAAATAGGAGAGTGAACAACTCTTCATAGATGTGTATTTTGAATATTTGCATGTCTGCCGTGTTTGCATAATGATTGTTATACTACATGTCAGATTTTAAATCTATACTTTGATTCTTAAGAAATACTTGAAAACATATATACTTGTACATGTAGACAGCATGCATATATAACTCCTACTACATTTTGAAAAAAATTATTTTATGACAAATTTGTCCTTTTATATTAATGATGACACTGTATAATTATTTGAAATACTTAAAAACATTGCTCTGTTTGTGTAGTGCTTCATACTCTGAGAAATTTTTAAGTTTATAGGTTTCTATGTAATAGCCTAAAAACTTTAATTCTTATTTGTTGCCTGCTTTTTAAATGGCCATATTTGTAAAGACAATGAGTTAGGGCAAATGAAGTCTAATGCAATTAAGTACAGTAGTAACTTAAGTATTCATTGTGTGTTTTTTCCATTATACTTTTGTGGTTCTTTTAGATGCATTTGCACAATCACATTCTTATAATGCACATCATCTTTTAGGTCTTAGCTTTGGTGCTGCTTTCAGAGAACGTTGGTGACTTTCCACAATTGGAAAGTCAGTGTGTATTTTAAGATAAGGAACAGGAAGCTGCTAAGTAAAGCATGCTTTATGGATAAAGAAACAAAACGGAGCTCTGTCTTTAATGAACATGAAGAGGCTGTAGGAGAACAGAAGATACCTTCTGCGTTCTGCCCTCTTCTATTTTAAAACTTGGGGAAATCTATAATTCGTCCATTAGTACTATGCTTCTAAAAGCAGTCGTATGCTTTCTCCCCATTCACACAAAGCAACTCCTGTTATATTGCAGAGAATGTATGTTTTATGATTGCTTATTTTTAAATGAGAATTATGCACAAGGATGTGCAGCCATTGCTACTGAAAGCAGGACCAGTGGCTACTCATGTACCCTTATTTAAAGTGACAAATAGAAAATTTTTGTCATGCTTCTATGATATGTCACTGGCCCCATGTGTGTCCCCCATGCCATAAACACACATTCTATGTGGAGCAAGCGTCATTAGTAGACCACAGGCTACAGCACCATGAACCTTTGTAGCTCTACATAAGCTAATGGCTTCACTTCTGAACCGGAGCACCTATGTGTCATCTCAGTACTGCAGGAACCCGCTCCTCTGCACATTCTTTTTGGGTGTATATGCTTTCCATTACCATCTCCATGTCGTCTCTCTTCTCTAGTACTTGCAGGATTTGCATATTCATTGAATAGAGGAAATGCTGTGGGAACTTTGTGAAGACCGGACAGAACCTCATGTGCTCATAATGTTAACACCTATGTGGGTCCTGGTCTACGAAGGGAAGGGGTGGTTAGAAGAGAACAACTTCATTGTCCTCTCTGGTTTTCCATGGTTGCTACTCACATGCTGCTAATGAGAATCATAGAGTGTGATAGGAACATAGAGTTTAGATTCAGGTACACCTGCCTTATGGGGGTTTTAGGAATTTCAAATGAAGTAACGCATACAAAATACTTAGTAATGTATTTGTACCGGCAGAAGATCAGCAAATGACAAGTGTTAGAATGAAGGTCATTGGGTATGAGAAAGGGCAATGTGACTTTTGTGTCTCTAAAGATTGGGAGAGAGAGAGAGAGAGAGAGAGAGAGAGAGAGAGAGAGAGAGAGAGAGAGAGAGAGAGAGAGAGATTCAACAGTTATTTCTTCCAATAACTTTGGGACCTCTGCCTTTTCTTCCCTATCTCTAACCCACAATTTTTACATCAGTTGGCAAACATTTCTCCTTCACTGCACTCACTTTGATCCCTGGATCTGGAGGGCATATTCTCACTGCTAACAGAGTTGGTATAACAGTGGTTTCCAAATGGAGTGTCTATGGTTCTTATACCAGAAAGGTCTGGGCTGGAAAGGTCTGGCTGTGGCAAGACTTCCTGGCAGAAAAACTGTTAAAGGGTCTCTTACAGAGATGACCTCTAAAGGTCTCTTTTACCTTAAGTTATGGGAATTCTAATGCCTTCTTGAGTGAATAGAACCTTACATTTTAACAAAGTCAAATTTCTACAAGTTGCCTGCACATGACTATTTTCTCGTTCTAGAGCTCCTGAGTCTATAAAATAAGAAGGAATGAGCCATGGCCAATGCGACTCAGTTGGTTAAGCATTGTTCCCTGCACTGAAAGGTTTGATTCCCAGTCAGGGCACATACACAGTTGCAGGTTTGATCCCAGGTAGAGATGCATATGGGAGACAATCAGTTGATGTTTCTCTCTCACATCAATGTTTCTCCCTTTCTTCCTCTCCATTCCTCTCTTTTTAAAATTAATAAAAACAACATCATATATTTTTGTAAATGAGAAGGGTCCAGCTGGTGTGGCTCAGTGGTTTAGTGTCAACCCAGGAACCAGAGGTCACTGGTTAGATTCCCACTCAGGGCATGTGCCTGGGTTGCAGGCTTGATCCCCTGTAAGGGGTATGCAGGAAATAGTCAATTGTTGTTTCTATCTCTCTATTCTTTTCCCTTCCTCTCTTCTTAAAAAAACAAATAAAAACATATTAAAAATAAGAAGGAATACTCATCAGACATTAATTCCTTCATAAGAAGGCAGTTCTGGAATGTGGTTTAATTTTAGGAATCAGAATGGTGATTTTGAGTCTAAAAATAAATAAATAAATGGAACTAGACTTCATAACTTACGTGTGTTGGCCTATAAGTCATCTAGCAAACATGTATCCAGTGCTCAAGGTACAATCTGAAAAACAAAAACAAACTGCTCTTGCCAAATTTTGAGCAAGATGTGAAGCATAACTTTTTCTAATTTGGTTGGGTGACTAATGAACCAGTGATTATTCAAGACAGGTGTACCAGCAAGTGCTCAGAAATGAAAGTGGTTGAGTTAATTATAGTACTTTTGAATTAATGCAGGGCAGATTGTCATTATTTGCAGAACCCTACAGTAAAAGAACTATTGTTGGCATATTTCCATTGTTGGACATGGACTGTTTTGTTGACTCCTGTATCGGTATGGAGTATTTTAGCATGGGAGATTTTTATGGATCTTTCTCTTTGCTCTTGGCCACCATTTTTAAAAATCCCATTTGGGAAATGAGAAACTTAATTTTCCTCAAGAAATATGCCATAATGATAGCATTAGGTGGTCTCTTAGGCCTGAAAATATTAAAGCTTGAGCCAGTTTAATCCCACTTTTTTTTCTCTAGGCAGACTTTTTCTTTTAAATTAAATTAAATTAATTAATTTATTTTTATTTTATTTATTTATTTTTTTAATGAATGGGGTTGGTTGAAGATTATCTGGGAGGATTACACAATTGGTATATTTGATTCAATTTATATTCAGGAAAGCCTTTTCAAATTGTTCTTTGCATTTACCATTATACCACTTAAGACATCTGACACCATTTTATTTTTTGACAAACAGACGTTGAGTTTTTGGAGTAGTAATTATGTCTCACTTGAATTTTTGCAGACTTACAGGCTCCAGAACCAGAACACCTGCGCCTCAGAGCAGTGCACTCTGATCTGCAAAATCCAGGAGGGCAGCCCAGCGCACTGTGCAGGCCTGCAAACCGGTAAGTTACAACTTTGCTCATGTTGAGAATTATTTAAATAGCAAGAAGAGAAAACTGGTAGTGAAGGTCAGGACAGTACTGTTGCCTTGGATTTTCTTAGTGCTTTTATGTTGCTAAGGTTTGAGGCTTGCTTGTTTTTCTTTGTTTGCATGTCAGGAAGGATTATTTAATCCACCACATTAACACTCTTTTTTTTTTTTTTTTCTTGGCATCTCCCAGGTGATGTCCTTGCAAATATCAATGGTGTGGGCACCGAAGGCTTTACCCACAAGCAAGTTGTTGACCTGATCAGATCGTCAGGAAACGTGCTAACGTAACTATCCATCTGCTTCTCATGGGGCTTCAGAAATGCTACATTCTCTCATAATGCCTGTTAAGTGAATGAATAGACTTATTGTTCAGGTTCATAAGAAGGGAGGCAGTGCACCATAGCTTTGGAACTGGGTACAGCCGTTTTTATCAGTTCCTTTTGTTTTTCAAGGTTTCTTCAAACTTGAACATGTTTGATAGCCCAAACATCCAAGTGGGAGGGAGAGCATTTTAAAAAATAACATTAAATTCAATTAAACTGGCACTTATTTTCCTTGGACTGACAAAAAATTATCCAATTTCCATAGCTGATATAATCTTGTTATTAGAACAAATAAAAGGTCTGAATGGTTGAGTTTTTCATCTTATACCACAAGCCAATAGTTTTTCTCATCGAGTGTTCTATTTGGAAGGAAGAACCAAGTCTGACAGCCCTTCCCACCCTACACACACACACACACACACACACACACACACACACACACTCACCCCTGCTACTATTCCAAACTTACTAATGGTACACTGGTCTCCCTATTGGAGATTTAATTTATTTTTTTCGACTATGCCATCTGTAGGACCTAATAAAACTTTAGTATTTAGTTAAAAGATGGAATTCACTCATTTGTTAAAATGATATTTCTTGAGCAAATACTGTGTTTTCAGTACTGTGATAGGCTCAGGAAATATGGAAGGAGATGGATAAGAAAAACCTCCAAAAATTATTTTTGGTATTTAATTATCCATAACTGCTATGAAGCAAGTACAATAAGGAATGGGTTAGAACATTGAGTAAGAGGGCTGATACTTTAGCTTAAGTGTTTAAATTGGTCCTTTCTGAGGAGGTGGACTTTGAGCTAAGACCTAAATGAAGAGAAGGATGATTATATGAATTCTTCATGAGAGCATTTAAGGTGAAGAGAGAGGTCTCTTAGTTGTCAAAATGGGCTTGGCACGTCCAAGGAAGAGAAAGAAAGACAGTGTAATTGGTGGTTGGTGAATTAGAGGGAATATAATAAGGGATGAAGGCAGGGAGTTGGGCCCTGGCAAGTGTGCTCAGGAGTTACTAGATCATTGGCTCATGTATTGAAGGGTCATGGGTTCGATTCCCAGTCAAGGGTTGCAAGTTTAATTCTTGGCTCCTGTTGGGGCTTATGCCAGAGGCAACTGATGGATGTGTCACTCTCACACTGATGTCTGCCTCTCTCTCTTCATCTCCCTCTTCCCCACCCTCCCTTCTACCCTCTCTAAAAATCAATGGGAAAAATTTCTTTGGATGCAGTTAACAACAAAGACAGGGAGTTGGCCGGGGGCAGAGTATGGGTCTATGAACCAGGCTAGCTAGTTTAGGATTTATTCTGGTTATGTTAGATCCTATATTTTCTCATTTCTTCTCCACAACCACCTCATGAGGTTAGTTTTATTCCTATTTATAGGTGAAGTGAACTGAGACTGAAATGAGGTTTAGTTAAGATCAACCATCTAGTAAGTCACGGGGCTGGGATTTGACCACCTGCTCTGGATGCCGAGATCTCTTCTCTTCAGTCACAGCATAGCTGCTCATTGTAAGCTGCCAATAGAAAATCCACCGGCCTCTCTTCAGTGATGGTGGTCTAAAACTTCAAAGGATGGTTTGGGTGTGTCTAGTAGTTTTGGAAAATGCCTGCTGGTGAGACAGGACCAAGTCTAACTGCCTGCATTTTCTCTTGGATCCTATATGGTTTCTGCCTTGCAGATTCAAGCTTCTCTTCACCCAAACTCATAGGATCCATAGAGTTGGACTCAGTGCTCTATAAGCACCAGAAGATTGTTCTTAACTAAACCTCGTGTAAGCCTCAGGAAATATCTAAGGAGTAATGGCTGGAGACAATGGGAAAGCCAGAGATCAGGAAAATGATAGTCTATACGAATACTGAAGAGAGCAGCCAATCCAGGCCTGAGGTTTTGGACATAGACAATCTGTTGCTTGGACAGGTCAGATTGACATTAAAAATTCCAATGGAACAGATCCACAGGGATCCTCACAATTGCTCACAATCAAGACTGCTCTAATGAGGCAGCAAATAATGTCTTGGCTTGCTATCATCTCATTATTGTGGGTATGATGCTATTAGAAATTGAGGAAAATTGATCTCCACCTTTAATGCTAGTATTTTACCACTAGAGGCCTGGTGCACAAAATTTGTGCACTGAGGGAGTGGGGCTCCTCAGTCTGGCCTGTGCCCTCTCATAGTTCAGGATACCCCAGGAATAGGGCCTAAGATGGAACTCCCTCTCGCAGCCCAGAGCTCTCACATTCCAGGACCCCTTGTTCCTCACCACCTGCCTGCTGTGGAGGTGGAAGATGCTCACGTCACCTCTGCTGTGCTCACCAGCCATGATCCTGGCTTCTGGCTGAGCAGGGGTCAGGAGAGGAGTGTGGCTCAACCAGAAGCTGGGCTCATTGCTTCTTGGCATTGGCCCTGCCCCCCCAACCCACTGGTGCTGGGGGGTGGGGGTGGGTTTGCAATCTGGAACTAAGCCAGCTGGGGGAGGGGCTGTGGGAGGTTGAGACACTATGGTAGCACCCTGTCCGGCCTCTGTGGAGGCTCCAGGCCTGTGCTGCCCCCTCTCCCACTGCCTCTGCAGAAGGGGGTCGTGGGTTTCACCATGGTTGGCCATGGTGGAACAGATTCCCTGCCCCACCGCTGTTCACTGGTCATTCCGGAAGGTTGTTCGGCTGTCCGGCTGTCCGGTCTAATTAGCATATTACTCTTTTATTATTATAGATGCCTTGAAAAATTCTTGCATCTTTAAAGAGTTACAGTTTATTTATCAGAAGGAATTTGAACCAATACTTTAAAGATGTTTAGGTCTGTGACTCAGACATAAAACTTTTATTCAGATTGATGGCTTAATGGTGAAAATAAAGGCCTTAACTTGTGCCCACAACACAAATCAAATCACTCAGGATAGAACAAGTCTTTTTATTTTAATAAAGATATAGGGAGAAATAACACCATTAAGTAGATAATTCTAGGATTAAAGTTGTGAGCTTAAAAGGTTTTGTGATGAGAGAGTCAGATGAAGGTTACTAACTGATAGTAGTTCTGGTTTTCTTTGTTCTAGTTCCAAAGTTAAGACAATTTACAGAAATAAAAGCTCCTGACACCTTAGTGAGGAAAAGATTTTTCCCTTTCAAGGAATAGCATGTTGATGCCACTGTTTGAAATTCTTATTGTTATTCTCATTGCTTGCTATTCTTATTGCTATATTCCTCATGCTTAGCGTGGTGTCCAAAGTCTGGTACATTGTAGATGTCCAATAAATATTCACCAAATGTTCGAGGCGATTCAGCTAGACTCCACAAGAATAGATCCTAGTAGAAAACAACCACCATTGCCATACAGGGGCTTCTACAAAATGAGCTACAATTTACAAATTAACAAAAATCTTTCAGTCACCCTTTCCAGGGGAGTTATTTTTGTTTGTTTGCTTTTCCCCATTTTCTTTCTCTGAATGTTGTTAGATTTGAAGTCAGTCCAGATACTTTTAGTGCAGGAGAATCTTAATGTTTATGTTGCCTTTTAAGGAGTCTGAGTTTAAATTGTAGTACTTCGTAAGGATGGTACTTGTTTGAATGAATCACTCATGCTCTTCTCCTCCCCCCCCCCCTTTTTTCTTAAAACAGGATAGAGACTCTTAATGGAACAGCAATTCTCAAGAAAGCCGAGCTTGAAGCAAAGCTGCAAGTTTTAAAGGTAATTTAATTTAATACAGTGAGGAACATTTTTCATCCTTGAATGTGTGAGTGGTAGAATGAAGATCTATTTGAGGAATTGAGATAGCCCTTGAGGATGAAATGTCATGATGAGTCTAAAAGGCTGAATTATCAAGAGCCAGACAATTGGCTTCGCAGGAATATTAAATTTCACAAACCAGCGCAAATCATTTCCTTCCTCCTTCTGTGTGTCTATGAGGCTCAGAAAGGCAACAGGGAGGAACATCAATTAAAGAGCATTTCATTAATGCACCTTTCTCTCTTGATTTACATTTTGTATGGGGTAGGTGAGGGGGAACAAAGAAGGAGAAGCCGGTCTGTCATTTTCCCAAGTTCTGTGTGTCTGTGTACAGAGGGCCTGGAAGTTTTGCTTCCTCTGCATCCTTCCATTCTGCCTCATTCTTACCATAGAAATAATCTCCCTGCACTCCTTTGGCTGTCCTTGAATCTGTCTTCACTGGCAAGCACACTATCAACTTTGAATAGGAAAAAATAAAGCTTTTAGGAGATAGTGCACAGTGCAGGGTGTTCAGTGAAAGTTTCTGGTATGGCTCTTTGAAGGACTAAAAAGTCTTAGGAGACTGGAGGAGTTCTGCCAGGCCATAAAGCTCAGACCCTCACTCATGTACACCTGGGTCAGAGCCCTGTAGACCCCAGCCGGTTCCAAGGACCTCTGCATCCAGGGCTGCTGCCCTCTGAGCAGGGATCGCAGGGTTTGCTGCAGACAGTCTGCTCACTTGGGTTTTGTATAGCAATAGCTGCCATTTGCTAGTTTTCTTTATGACGTATGCACTTCTAAATTATTGAGCCCATTAATTATTATTAATTACTATTCACTCCATTGAGGGTGGAGTTACTATACAATATTTATATTTTATGTTGTACACCCTTCCCCCACATATAATTAATCAACAAGACCTGTTTTCTTTGCCAACATCTTGCTATTTTGCTTATTCCTGTTATTTTTAAAATCATTTTGTAAATTCTTTGGCAAAATAATTCTGTTTATATTTTCATAGAAATTGAATTGCATTTATAGAATAAATAAAATCAATTGACATCTTTATGGTTTTTACTTTTCTTATTTCAAGCACAGTTGAATAATTGGAGGTAAAGGGACAAATCTTTATCTACAAATAAATTTATAACTATACAGAAAACTCTAAGGGAATCTATAAACATTTTATTAGAATAAAGGGAGATTGGCAAGACTATTGGATTTAAAAACCAATAACAATAAGTTAAAATCTTTTAATATTAAAATATATTTATTAAGAAAGAAAAATTAGTAGGTACTTAAGAATAAATATAACATATAATTGCATGAATAAATTATAAAATGTTTTTGAAATAAATTACAGATTCTATAAATCTTTGTTAGATTTATCATTTTATAATTTATGGTTTTGTTTCTATATTTTTTTTACTTAAAATGAATATTTTGATTTTGATTAAAGTATAGATATGTAAAATAACATTTCTTATGCTGTCACTATATTCAAACACCTTCTAAACTATAGATTTCTAATAAATTATCTATAGATTTTTGGGGACTTTCTATGAAGATAATAACTATCTGTTAAGAATGACATTCAGTTCTTTTTCTTAGTAACTAGGTCCTGCAATATCATGGTGAATAGAAACTATAATTGTGGGGATCCTTGTTTTGTTTTTGACTTTAAAGGGAATTTTTTGTCTCTTTCATGTCAGGAATAAGCTCTCTATGAATATACTTTTCAGGTTAAAGAGGCTCCCTTCAATACCAAGTTTGCTAGTAGTTTTTATAGGGATGGTATATTAAACTTTACCAAATACCTGTTTTTGCACTTATTAGGATGGTCATTTCATTTTTTTATTTTAAAAAAATCTGTCAGTATGAGTGACATTTAAAGGTTTTCTAATGTAAAGCCACCCTTGAATTTATAAAACAAACCAAATCTGATTCATAATTTATAATAATTCTTTATAAACTTATAAATTTGATTTGCTAACATTTTCTTAAGGATATTTGAAGGTAGCTTCACTTTTCAGATAGAATGGCCTATCCGCGGCCCGCCCCCCCCCCCCCCCCCCCCCCCCCCCCCCCCGCCACCGCCAATGCCCCTCCAGCTGTTCTTTCTTTAGTTTTGGTATCACATTTACTGGCCTCTTAGCATGAGCTAGGGAACATGTCCCATTTTTGTTCTCTGTAGAATATTTGTAACATTATCTGAACCATCAGGGCTAGAAGTTCTTTTTTTTGGTAGAAATATTTTTAAATTGTTTCAGTTTCTTTATTAGTTATAAACTACTCAGGCTTTCTGTTTTAATTTTGTCAAATTATCTTTTTGTTAATAAAGTCTTTAAATAATTGCATGAAGTTTTTAATACAAATTTATTCTCGTGTTTTTTTTCTTTCTTCTTTTCTATCACAACTGATCATGTCCCCATTTTTACTTGTACCACTTTCTATGCTTTCTCATCTTTTTATTTCTTGGTAATTTTCTAGAGGATTTTTGAGTCTTTTAAAAAATATGAGTATTTCAGCCGAGACCGGATTGGCTCAATGGATAGAGCGTCGGCTTGGGGACTGAGGGGTCCCGGGTTCGATTCTGGTCAAGGGCATGTACCTTGGTTGCGGGCATATCCCCAGTAGGGGGCGTGCAAGAGGCAGCTGATTGATGACTCTCTCATCGATGTTTCTAACTCTCTATATGTCTCCCTTCCTCTCTGTACAAAATCAATAAAATATATTTAATAAAAAAATGAGTATTTCAATTTGTGCCAATTTGTTATCTTTTGCTGATTGCTTTTAAGCTGTTCTTTTGACTTTACCAATCTATAGTTTCACCTCAATGTGATTGCATCTGGGTTCATTTCTAAATATAAACTGTGTAGAACTTAGAACTTGAGTGCCCTTTCCATCTAAATGGTCTTTAGTTTTAGAAAACTATCAGCTTGATATCTTTGAATAGATAGTTGACCCTTAAACAACGTGGATTTGAACTGCATGGATTCACTTACTAATACACATGGATTATTTTTCTTCTTGTAGTCAGGCGATGCAAACTTATGGCTTCTTTAAATACAATACTCTAAACTTATTTTCGCTTCCTTATGATTTTCCTAACATTTTTTTTATCGAGTTTACTTTATTGTAAGAATACAGTATATGACACATATAACATACAAAATAAGTGTTAATCAACTATTTATCCTATTGGAAAGGCTTCCAGCCAATAGTAGACTATCAGTAATTAAGTTTGGGGAGTCAGAAGTTATATGCAGATGCTTTACTATGTAGGTGTGTGTGTCGGGGGGAGGTTCCACATTGTTCAAGGGTCAACCGTATCTTTTTATCTTTTATTTTTTTTAATTTTTTTATTTATTTATTTTTTTTTACCATTCCCTGGATTGTCTTGTGGAGTTCCGTTCCATATTTTTGAGTCCCTTGATTTGCCTTTCAGGCTGCCTACGTGCTCTTTCATATTTTGTATTATTTAACTTTTTTAATGTTCTTTTTGAATTCCTTAGTAACAGCCTCAGTAATGCTGTCTGTTTTCCATACAGAATGTGTTCTTTCTATTAAAATTTAATTTTTTGTTCTCAAGTAGCTCTTTTTTATTTTGATCAATTCTTGTTCCTTTTTGTTTCAAATTTCTTCTTCTTAGCACATTGATATCATTTATCTCCCTGAAGATTACCAATATCTTCATTTTAAACCCTTTTTGGACACTTTCTATTTTCATTTTACTTGGAGAGCCTCCTTATGCTGATGATCAGTGTTGTTGTCCTTTTTACTGAACTGCAGCGGGTGTTTTGAAATGCAGATTGCCTACTTCCCTTGCCTGGTGGCCTCTCCTTCTGTTCAGTGTGATAGCTGGGCAGTTGCCTCCACGATACATATCAAAGCTGCCAACCCAGGGCCAGGTCTGGCAGCTAGGAGGCCTTCCCTGGAGGGTCAGTGTATGGCGTGGCTTAGGTCCTGAGGCTGCGTTCATGTGTTCCTGCCCCGCTAGGTGCAAGCTCTACCTGAGCCATCGCCACCATTGGACCCTTTCCCCAGCCTCCTTTGCATGGGGTGGAGCTTCAGCCAAGGTTCTTTTCTCAGGCGGGAAACTTGTTTTTGTCCTGTGCCACTTAAGTGTACTTAAACTATGTATCACCCTAAGATCCACATTCCTAGTACCTCTTTCTGATTCTTCACATCCAGCCGGACTTTGGGTTCATTCCTGCTTACTTCTTGTATGTCTGTTCCTTTTCTCAACTTGAAATGATAAAATTTCCAGTTCATCTTTTGAGCCAGAAGTTTCTCGGGTATGACCTTTAACCAGGGTCAGGCTGGCTTCCCCTCACAGGATGACATTTAGCATGTAAGGGTGCATTCTGTTTCATCAAAGACTGTGTTTTCAGGGATTCCCTTTCTTATGACCTATGATTCACAGTTTAACATGAAAATGATACATCCAATGGGCTAATGGGGGGAGTTACTTTTTAATCTAGTTCTGTCATTGACTGGATTTGTAGTCTTTGGGAAATATTTTGCTATATCGAACCTTTATTTTCTAATCTGTGACATATTTGGACAGTTGGGAAAATTAAATAGCAGGTTATCCACAAAAGCACTATAAAGTAGTAAAGTGCCATGAAAATAGTTAACTGACATGAGTGTCTCATGTAGACTGAAAACATTGGAAATATGTCCAACCCAAACTATTTAATCTGTGATAGTTGAGTGTTGTTTCAGGGAGTTGCTAGTTTACATGCCCATTCAATCCATATGCATTGAGCTGTTGCTATGTGAGGCACTGACCTGGGGATGTGGCCCGGTATAGTTATATCTATAGTGAGGGAATGTGGCCCGGTATAGTTAAATCTCCCATGTGCTTTGTCTTTTAATGGTGAGAGATTAAATTGGTGCAAATATACAACTGTGATGCTAATAGCAACCAGATACAGGCTCCGAGGAAAATAGGGAAGCTTAGATATAGGCTAAAAACTGAGTCACTGAGATGTATCTGCTCTTTACCCTGGTATTTCCTTGGTTTAAGTGATGACATACTTAGGTGACTGGGCCAGATCAACAGATTAGATATTTTAAAACTTTTATATATATTTTTTAAAACGTCCAGGATGTAGCAAGCCCTGACTTTGTATTTCTGGATATCTAGGTGCAGAAATACAACTTCCTCTTCTCTCTATTTGGTTTTGACTGTCACGCCAGCTTCATGTTCCCCTACTAGACTCTTACTTTGCAGGAGATAAGCCTCCTGAAGAAAAAAGAAAGAGGGTGGGCATATAGGCCAGATCTTTTTAGTTCTATACTCCTTGGTTCCATAATTCTGACCGGAGGTGTGACTGATGAGAGGTGTACACAGATAACAGCTGTGATTCAGGTAGCCCAGCAGTCTTAGAGCCATATGGACTACATTATAATACAGAAAGAACAGGAAGTTGATGGCTTGAATTTTTCAATATTATATTTGCAATCATAGGATTGCTACTAAGTGTTATCAGGGATTGGAAAATCCTACCCAGCGATTGTTTAGGCCCAGAATTGAGGAACCGGCCATTTTCCCTTAAGCATTTAATGACATTCTTGTATTTTATTATTTTCATTCCTTTAGGCCTTCCCCTTTCAAATGTGCTTCTTTTTCTCTTCAGTTTTAGACTTTATCTGACCTTCCCAGATTGTGTCAAGTGAAGGACCCCTTCTCAGGTGTCCAGAGGCAAAGCTGAGCTGTGTCTGCCTGCTGGGCTGGCTGTGAGGCCCTCAAATGGCAAAGGAAGGGGTGGGGTAGAGAACAAAGAGGAGAGAGAATGAGCCTTTGATGGTGTCTTGCCAAATGCTTTCGCCTGGTTAGCTTTCAATTCCCATCACCTCAGCCCAGTCCTGGGCTGGTCCAAGCCTCCACTGCCACCTTGATCATCACATCAGCCACTCCATTCCCACCTTGGGCCACTGCTCTTAGGTGCTGGGCAGCAGGGGAAGGAAGGAGTTAAAAAGTCAGGGTGCTAAGCAGTCTTTTAAGTTTAGCCTTCCAAGGAAGCCTTTCAGAACAGGTAGACTTCCTCTTTTTGGTGCAGAAAATAAGAAGCTGTCCAGTAGAAAAGACAGCTTTTTATTTTCCAAGAAGTTTCAGTGTGCCAGGTTTAAAGAATGATGATGGTATTTATTGAACAATTACTAAGATCTAACATCTCACGTCTATTAACTTCTTTAACCTGCATGACAATCCCAGTGTTTAGGTTCTATTATTAGCTTCATCCTGCATGTGGGAGAAGCCTAGAATATAAGTCCCTGTATAAACAGATATTACATGGACACAGACCTAAGCAATCTGGTCCTATGACATTTATTTAAAGTAAAAATATACAAATGTCATTGTTTCTATTGTCTATTGCTTTTATTGTTCCTATTGAAATGATGTCATGGTTTCAACTTCTTGGTGCTATTCAGATATTTCTTGAGGAAGTAGTTTTCCCAATATCTTCCTTTTATACAGAAAAACATCTTTCAAATGAACAAGGGAGGTTATTAGTGCCAGAAAGAAAGGGGGGAAAAATTAGTCACAAATCTCAACACCTAGGAGTAAATTGCTATTTCACTGGGGTTTCCTAATATTAGCACTTTTTTTTTCTTTTTTCTCAGCAAACCTTAAAGAAGAAATGGGTGGAGCTCAGAACTCTGCAGTTACAGGAACAGCGCCTGCTTTATGGTAAATGTGATTTCCTGTTCAGAAACCACACTAACATTTCATCCTTTTAGCATTTCTGCCTTTAAGTTGCTTAAGATTATCATCATTATAAGAAAAAAATTGTGTAGCATGGATAATGAATACTACAATAGTTTGTATTTCTTTGGAGTGACCTATGTATTTGGAGGAGGGATAAGTCAAGGCACATCCTTCATATACATAACAAATGCACATCCAAGCATGCATATACCCACCTGCATGCACATGCTTTCATGAGGCACCTGGATATGTTAGAAGAGCAGTAGGAACGATGGCCTGATTTCAGCAGATGAGTGAAATTCCTGAGAACGTCCATGGCTCAGGGGCTGTGCAGTTCCCAGAAACTCCGGAGGCTGGAATGGTAGCACACTCTTTGTGTAGAGCTCCTATCACTTGTTCATATTGTATAGGTAACATTAATGCAGAGATACTCCCCTTTATGACCTCCAAGACAGAAATTTGAATGATAATAATAATAGTAACATCATTATTCTTGCCTTTGTGTACATTGTAAAGGGAAGGAATGAGTTTAAAATTTGTCGATTTACAATTTGCTATGTGACTTGTGTGACCCGAAGAACTTGTCTGTATAAAGAATTCATTGAAAGCACTAGCAGAGTGGGTGTGAAAGGTAGGTTATATTTCCTTCAGATAATACCAAGTCTAAAGTCTCTATTTATAGCCTAGATATCTGTCAAAAATTATAATTTCTTTATAAAAAAAGTACTTTTAATTTTTAATTAGGCACTAACTTTACGTTGAAGTTGTTTTTGATAAAAAGTTTGTATGAGTTACTTCTATTTTTTAAGTATTTAACTTAATATTTTAAAACAATCATAACAGATTTTTGGGGGGTCTGGAGATTACTAGCAAGACAGGTACAGAATTTAGCTACCTATTGGGTTTCTGTAGACCCGAAGGTTTGGGAAACCTTTGCCTTCGCTTTTGGAGCATTCTGGAGTAGAGATGGGATTTGTCTTAGATTTCTATAGGAATGGCTTTGTGGACACAAGATCCTTAGGTAAGAATCAAGGAGACTGAATCCTCATAAGGCCATTGTTGTAAAAATTTTTTGAGAGTTGAAGGAGTTCTTTTTACTTTTTCTCACCTAGAATAAATATTCAGGGAATGAAATTCTATAAAGCAATTGTTCTCTAATCAAAGCATTGCAAAATGAAATAAAGTCTGTTGTATTAGCAAAAAGAAAAGAATTATGATTAATCACTCACTGAGGGCTGGCCATACTTAACCTTGCAGATCAAAAGGAAAAATAAACAGTCTCCTTTTATATTGTCAACCAAGGACAAAGGAGAGAGCAGTAGAGATAATAAACGAATGCAAAGTGAAACCATTTCTGAATGTCAATGTTCTATTGCTTCTCTTTTTCTTTTTCTTTTTTAATCTTTTAAAAATATTTTTATGATTTCAGAGAGAAAGGGAGAGGGAAAGAAAGACAGAAATATCAATGATGAGAGAGAATCACTGATTGGCTGCCTCCTGCATTCCCCCCCACCTTGCTGGGAGCTGAGCCTGCAACCTAGGCATGTGCCCTTGACCAGAAACTGAACCTTGACCTCCTGGTTCATAGGTCAGTGCTTAACCACTGAGCCATCCCAGCTGGGCTCTACTGTTTTTCTTGAAGTACTAACCATCTAATTAAAGTCATCCCTTGGCATCCATGGGAAATTGTTTCTAGGACACACCCTATGGTTACCAAAATTCAAGATGTCCAAGTAGCATTCCATTAAATGCTACAGTATTTTCATACAACTTATATTTCCATGTAAGGCTACAAAATGGTACGCTATATTTCATTCTTGTGGATTCAGTGTAATGCTTGGTGCCATGGAAAATTTAAATTTTGCTTTTTGAAACTTTCTGGAATTATTATTTTTCTCAAATATTTTAGATCAGTGATTGGTTGAATCTAGGGGGCTGATGTATGTCTTTCTCAGGCTGGTATTACAGACAATCTGCTTTCTTTTCACATTAAAGCAGCCAGTATAGAAGCAAGGGGGGTGGGACAGGATATTGGTACGTGAATAAAATTTGAGTTTGGGTAGCCCAGATGTAGATTATAAAAGGTTGATGAAAAAAATTCAGCTAAGCAGATAAAACTCAATTCCTTCAAATGAGTTATTACTTACTAGTAGCCCTGTGCATGAATCTGTGCACCACTAGCTCTCTGTGGGGTCTGGCTGCTCTATGCCTGCTGCCCAGAGGCTCTCTGATGCTTAGAGGCCCATCCATGACTGGGTATGGAACACCTGCCTCATTGCCAGGGTGATGACACCAGTGTTCTGCACCCTGGGCTGTCCAGAGGCCCATCGGAGCCTGGGTGCTGGATGCTTGCCCTGTTGCTGCAGTGACAAAGTAAGCATTCCATCAGGCTGCTCACACTGCCCTCTCTCAGCAGCCACCCCGCCGCGCCCCTCTCCCCCCCCGCCCGCCCCCCCAAGGTCTGGAGGACTCTGGTGGTAAGAGGACTGGGAGCTGCCATCTTGTGGCTATGGGCGCTGCCATATTTATGACAGAGTGACACATAATTTGCATATTATCCTTTTATTAGATAGGATTTGAGGACAAAGCTATTTTCTGGGTACAGAACCATTTCAGAACATTTACGTATTATAGCATTCTAATATGAAACTTGGAATACTGAGACTGGACAATATCCTTTTTGCCTTAAAAACCCTTGACTTCTTTATAATGAGCCTACAGATGCAGGTGTTTTTTTTTTTAATCAAATTTAAAATATATATATATTTTATTAAATTTTTACAGAGAAGAAGAGAGAGGGATAGAGAGTTAGAAACATTGATGAGAGAGAATCATTGATCAGCTGCCTCTTGTACACCCCCTACTGTGGATGTGCCTGCAACCAAGGTACATGCCCTTGACCGGAATCGAACCTGGGACCTTTCAGTCAGCAGGCCGACATGCTATCCACTGAGCCAAACTGGTTTCGGCTAGATGCAGGTTTTATAACTGTGTTTCCACTACATGTCAGATAATGCTATTATAAGTTTGTAATCACTAAAAAAAGGACAGTAGTTAAACATAAGAGGAACTAAATGGAGAAAATCTATAAGATAGCATTTCTCCAAGTATATTCCTTAAAGCTCCATTTCTTTATCAATAATTTTAATAAAAGGTTGCAGAGTCATTTCAGTTTAAAGATTATCCTTTCAAAAGTTCACAAGTCATGCTGGCATGCTGTCGCATGAATAGTACTTGTTCTCATATGAAGAATCTGGTTTAAATGTATTTGATCTGGCCTTACTCTTTTCGTGACCATGAACCTTTTTACATGGCAGGTAGGCCATGGGCAGCTACAATAGTTTTGGAAATCCTACTATAAGGTTTATCAAATTACCTTATAACCAGCCATTTATTCATGCAAGTCAAGGCTCAGTGAAAAATATTATTTACCCTTGTAGGGGTGTCAAACTCAATCAGAGAAGGGGCCAAAATCTAAAATCCAGCCTAAATCGCGGGCCGAATGGTTTACTGAACAGTCATAAACTGTCATTGTGATGGAAACGCAGCGGAGTGCAGTGATGACAGCGTGGTGCGGGCCACATTGCAAGGCCTGGCGGGACGGATTTGGCCCGCGGGCCTTGTGTTTGACACATGTGCTTGGTGTCTTTACTTGTGGGGTGTGATAATGCTCAGATCCATTTCACAGTAGACTTTGTTTTCTGCATTCTAGGTGATGCAGCTAACTGCCCAAGTTTGGAAAACATGGACATAGATGAATCTGTTTTGTTTGGAATCCTGCCCGGGGCAGGCTCAGCCCTCCCGGACCGGAACCGATTATCCAGTGAGAGCAGCTGTAAGAGCTGGCTGAGCTCCGTGACAATGGACAGCGAGGACGGCTACCAGACGTGTGTGTCTGAGGACTCGAGCAAGGGAGCCTTCAGCAGGCAGACAAGCACCGATGACGAGTGCTTTGTCCTCAGGGATGGGGACGATTTTCTGAAGAAGTCCTCTTCCAGGCACCGGAGCATCAGCACCGCCAGCAGTGGGTCCATGTCTCCCATGTGGGAGAGCAACTTCTCAAGCATGTTTGGGACTCTGCCCCGAAAAAGCAGAAGGGGGAGCGTCCGGAAACAACTCTTGAAATTCATCCCTGGCCTCCACCGCCCTGTGGAAGAGGAAGAGAGTCGCTTTTGATGGGTTGGGATGCCCCTTCCTATGAGCGTATTTCGTAAATATTTCTGGACTTGTTTAGATCAACTCCACCCAGCTTAGTGGGAAAGTGCAAATGAATTGCAAAACTGACATCCCATTTTATGGCAATAGTGACCTTTATTTAAATTTTTTTCTATTGTGTCCCCCTCCACCCCCCTTGCTTCTTAATGTTTTAACTTAGAACAGCTGAAGTTCTAAGCAGACAGTAAGGGAATAAAGTTGTAAGTTAGATAATATAACAAATTAACACAAATACTTGCTCATGCTAATGCTGCCTGTGAAGGCAAGAGTAATATTTATTTTTTAGGCTATCCATGTGGAAAATTGAGAACTTTGGAGTCCATTGTAAATAAAAGAGTGACAATATAATTATTTGGAATGCCTTCTGTAGGTAAATAAGAAGGTATCAAAACTTGATGTTAGTTTAGGCTCAGTAATCTCTGGGGAGGCTTAAAAATAGGCAATTTTGAAGTTTCTGTTGAAATCTCTGAAGGATTATAAACAAAGATGACCATCAGCCATTTTTCACATCTACAGTGATGGTAAAATGGGAAGTATAAGATTTAATATGAGGGTTTAAGTTTCATGAGACTCATGGAATGATATTGTCTAAAGTGGGTACTGAGAAAGATTATAATAAGTTTGTTTGTTTTTTATAGGCAGCCTAAACAAAATAGGTGGAAATGTTATTCTTACTTGATTCATTTTTTATTCCATCTAATATTGAACTGGCAAGATTTTATAGCTTTGTAATTTTTTTAACAAATCTAAAATTTAAAAAAAATCTATATTCAAGAAAAGGATTTTCCTCCTGTAGATTTTTTCCATACCACTCCTTACATTATGTTATATATTTTAAATAGTTATTGCCATGGCACTCTTTAGCCTATTTGTTACATTAGTATCATATTATGTCTAGCCATTCAATCGCTTTTTTATTCAATGCCTATTAAAGTTCATAATTTTTTTATTCTCATGATATAGCTGCTCACTGCCTCTATTCTAGCAATATAATATAATATTCCAGCAATATAATAAGTAGCCCTTAATGATTTTAAGGTGTGTGTGTGTATGTTTGGGAGAAATAGAGTCATTTGATAGTTGACTTTGAGTGGGAAATCTACATTCAAATAAACTGAGGGAAGAATCAATCATTTGAGTAAAAAACAGAGGAGAGGGTAAGGAAGCCTGCAGGTTAAAATAATAATAATAATAAAATAAAAGTGATCTCTAATTGAGACCTGATCTCTATTAATTCTTTGAACTCAGAAACATACAGTGGACAGTACTTGAGAATCACTCACACGAAAAGTAGAGTGCAGCATGTTTCACAGAGACAATAGCAATCTTGCCTACATCTCCAGACTGCCTAGAAGATTAAAAATGGCTTCCATGCGATCCCTGACATGACCCTGGAGGTAAGTGTTAGACATGCCCTCAGAAGCAGGAATTTGCAGACGTTCCCATCGGCAGAGGCAGGGCTGACGTTGGAAGCCAGTTCTTCCTGTCTCTCACCTATCATTATAGTCTCCCTAGAGGTTGTTTACCCTTTTGCTGGTTTTGTGTAGTTATTTTATCACCACAGAACACAGGAGGGTACACTCTCCCTCCAAGAATATATAAAACGTGCAATTGTAGCTACTGCATGGACAAAGAGACTGTTTTTGGTGAACAGGAAAACAAACACCTATCGATATTTAGGGTGATTCTCCTGGGCTGCATTAGCAAGTTTTCAGATATAGGCACATTTGTAACTGCATGGTTAGCAATACATTTCTTTCCAACAGGGGCTAGCAAATGGGTTGTGATTCAACTGATAGAGCTTACTCCTTATCATAGACTAGAATTATCACGTCAAAGATCTGCTTACACAAATGCATTTCCTGTTAATCCTATTTCACAGAGTTCAGCAGAAAGAATTATCACATTTATTTGAGGAAAGATGACTAGTCTTCTGCGGTGCGAGCCGTGTTTTGAGAACCGCCATGGGTCATCTGGAAAAGCAGACCCAAGGTCGTTCGCTTTGCTTGTGGCTTTCAGTGTTAAGTTTAGTGCAGACCTTCCTCCTCACAGTCAGCCACCCCCACGAAAAGGCACCAGGAAGGAACAGAGCAAGTCGCACTGTAGTCTGTGATAAGACGAATTAGAGTCAAGAGTCAGTTCTGGAAAAAAAGGAAAGCAGCTTTTAACCAGAGTACAGGAAGGGAGGGTATGACATGGTATGTGTGTTCACATGTTGTAAGAAAGCTAGCTGCTGTTTAGTGGAAACGTGGGTAAATTTCTCAAAACATAGCTTTTCAAACTGCGTGTGACCTTAGTAGGGCTTTAGATTTCATTTCCCTGCTTAGACACAAAATGACTCACTTTGATGTAATTTACTAAGAAAAGGGTTGAAAAGTGGTTTGTTTGTTTTTTAACCCCAAACTTGTCAAATATGTAATATTGGTGATTAGCATTAATTGACAATTTGTTATGAAAATGCATTTTCTAGTGTGCATTGATAAGCCATAATTTGAATCAAGCATATTGAGAATTTTGTTGTTACGTCGTTAAAGGAACACCGCCATGTCAAAAAGTTGGAAATTATATTTTTGAAATAAAATTTTATTCATCACTTTCTACTTTATATACCTTTATATCTTAGTTGCATGATGCAAACAGTATTAAAAATTCTAGTTTGTACTAAAGAAGTCAAACATAGACACAGTTTATGTGTTCGGATTATAAAGTATAAGTATTTACGGATGTACTAGAGGCCAGGTACATGAAATTCGTGCACAGGGAGAGGGTGCTCCTCAGCCTAGCCTGAACCTTCTCCAATCTGGGACTCCTCAGAGGATGCCTGACTGCCCATTTAGGCCACGTTCAAGTGGGACTGGGCCTAAACAGGCATTTGGACATCCCTCTTACAATCCAGGACTGCTGGCTCCCAACTGCTCACCTGCCTGCCTTCCTGATTGCCCCAACTGCTTCTGCCTGCCAGCCTGATTACCCCCTAACCATTCCCCCGTCAGCCTGATTGATGCCTAACTGCTCCCCTGCCAACCTGTTTGCCCCTAATTGCTTGCCCCTTGCAGGCCTGGTCACCTCTAACAGCCTTCCCCTGAAGGCCTGGTCCCTCACAACTGCTTTTTCCTGCAGGCCTGGGTCTCCCCCAATTGCCCTTCCCTGAAGGCCCAGTCACTCGCAACTTCTCTTCTCTGCCAGCCTGGTTCCTCCCAACTGCCTTCCCTTGCAGGTCTGGTCCCTCTCAACTGCCCTCCCCTGCTGGCCATCTTGTGGAGGCCATGTTGTGTCCACCTGGGGGCAGGATCTTTGACCACATGGGGGCAGCCATCTTGTGTGTTGGAGTGATGGTCAATCTGCATATTACTCTTTTATTAGATAGGATAGAGCCCTGGTGCATGGGTGGGGGCCAGCTGGTTTGTCCTAAAGGGTGTCCCAGATCAGGGTGTGTGTTCCCTTGGGGTGTGAGATGGCCTTGGAGAGGGGCCTGTAGTGGTTTGCAGGCCAGCCACACACCCCCCGCAACCCAAGCAGAGGCCCTGGTATCTGGGGTTTATTTACCTTCTACAGTTGAAACTTTGTAGCCTAGAGATGAGCCAAGCCTTCTGCTCACTTTGTGGCTGCAACCATTTCTGCTGGGATTTATTTACTTTCTATAATTGAAACTTTGTAGCCTTGAGTGGAGGCCTGGGCAGGCCAGAGTGTACTGAAAGCTTGGATTCCTCCATTGCCTGGGAAACCCAAGCCTCACTCCTATTCTCTCCGTGGCTGCAGCCATCTTGGTTGGGTTAATTTGCTCCTGATTGGCTGGTGGGCATGGCTTATGAGTGTAACAGAGTGATGGTTAATTTGCATATTACTCTTTATTAGATAGAATGTAATCTAAGTAGTAGTAAATAATACAAAACTATTGAATCCTTCAGATCACAAAACTATTGCTACTTTATATCTATTTTCTACAGCACTATGGGCAATAAAAAAAAAAAAAACAACAACAAAAAAATACACCTGATAACTTTTTGAAATAAAGGATGCCATTATTCAGTGTCAGAACCTTTTCTCTATCTCTATCTAATCTCTTTCTCTACCTGCCTTAAATGAAATAAATGGCTGTTGTGAATATAAATTTTTAAAAATATGGGGTGAACACTTGACACATCTTAAGGTTCCTAAAAGGCATTACCTACTATTTGAGGCTTTGCACTTATAGTAGCTTTCTGTTCTTTAACAAATTACTACAAACTTGAAGGTTTAAAACATATTTATCATCTCAAAGTTTCTGAGGGTCAGGAGTCTGGGCAAAGCATAGCTGGGTCTGCTCAGTGTCTCACAAGGTTGCAATCAAAGTGTCACCCAGGATTGAGTTCTTGCCTGGAGGCTGGACTGGGAAAGGATTTACTACCAAGTTCCCTCGGGTTGTTGTCAGATTAATTTCCTTGTGGGCATAAGATTCATAGCAGCTTGCTTATTAAAAACCAACAATGGAAACAAAGACTGAAGCAAGACAGAGTCTTAAATAATGGAGTGCAAACATAGGGGTGGCATCCCCTCACTTTTTCCTTGCAGCAGAACAGAATTGCAGAGGGACATCCCATCAACTGCCATATTCTCTTTGTTAGACACAGTCACAGGACCCACCCACCCTCTAGAAACAGGGATATGCAAAGGCAGAAACATCTGGAGGTGGAGATCAGTATGCTACCTTAGAGTCCTCACAGCACCATTCAGGAGGTCACACATTTGACAATATAAAGATAATGAGTTTCTCCAAAATATTTTGAGTAAAAATAAGTGGTGAATGTTACCATTGTTAATTTTTCTATAAATAAATGGTAAGATTAAAGATCCTTAAAGTTAAAGAACCTGGTCAAGATTGTATAACTAGCCAACAAGCTGAGTAGGGAACTGAATCCAGTCTATTACTAACCTCACAACTTTGTCCCAGAGATACATGAAATGATAGAAATTTTATTATTATTATTATTATTATTATTATTATTATTTATTTCAGAGAAGAAGAGAGAGAGAGATAGAAACATCAGTGATGAGAGAGAATCGTCCATAGGCTGCCTCCTGCCTTCCCTGTACTTGGAGCAAGTGCCCTGATCAAGAATTGAACCCTGACCTTTTGGCTCATAGGTTAATGCTCCACCACTGAGCCATGCTGGCTGGACTGACAGAGATTTTAAAAGAATATTAAAAGGTGAACTTAAATGGTTACTTGCTTTCCAATTCTGCTGGGGGAGTCTGAATGTATTTAAATGAATTCAATGATTGGCATGCTGGACTTTATCATTTTTATATCGCTGCATCTTTATGAGCAGAGGATAAGGATTCAACAGAAAAACAAAACAACTCATAATCAAAGTTACAAAGCACAAAAGAAAGGAACAATGATGAGCAGAGGTCAGGAGATATAACAAACAGCAGAATTGTCTTATTTGAGAAAAACAGTTTGAACAAATATAAAACATGTATCTCTTAGGAAGTGGCCAAGTCCCTTAATAAAGAATATCTCAGAGAAACCTACAGCTAAGCCCCCTGACATGGTTCAGTTGGTTGAGTGTCATCCCATGCGCCGAGGGGTTGCCAGTTCCATTCCCATTCAGTTCCATTTCCATGCCAGGGTTGCAGGTTGGTCCCCAGTAGGATGCATAAGGAGGCAGCCAATTAATGTTTCTCTCTCTCCCTCTCCCTTTCTCTCTCTCTAAAAAAAAATCAATAAAACATTTAAAAACAAACAAAAAATATAATATCATAGCAGTAAGAAATTGGATGCTTTCCCCCTAAGGATGACCTCTCACTATTTCTATTCACCATGTACTAAAAGTCCTAACCAGTACACCAAGACAAGGAAAGAAAGGGAAAGGTATACAAACTGGGAAGGAAGAAATGAAACTATGTGTGTTTGCAAATGACATGGTCATCTATGTGGAATATGCCAAAGAATCAACAACAGAAATCCTGGAACTAATAAGTGAATATACCAAGGACACAGGATACAATCCTATATACTAAAGAGGTAATATACAAATTGACCATCACACACTCACACAAGATGGCCACCCCCATGTGGTTACAATAAGATGGCTGGCAGGGGAAGGCAGTTGTGGGTGATCAGACCAGCAGGGGAGGGCCATTGGGGGCGTCCAGGCTTGCAGGAGAAAGCAGTTGGGGGCCACCAGGTCAGCAGAAGAGGGCACTTGGGGGTGACCAGACTGGCAGGGGGGGGGGGCAGTTGGGGGCAATCAGGCCAGCAGGGGAGCAGTTAGATGTCGATCGGGCTGGCAGGGGAATGGTTAGGGGGTGATCAGGCTGGCAGGCAGAAGTGGTCAGGGGCAATCAGGCAGGCAGGTGAGGGTTGGCAGCCAGCAGTCCCAGATTGCAAGAGGGATGTCCAACTGTCAGCAGTCAGACATCCTGAGGGGTCCCAGATTGGAGAGGGTGCAGGCTGAGCTGAGGGACCCTCGCCCAGTGCATAAATTTTGTGCACTAGGCCTCTAGTTGTTATATAAATGTCAATTGGTTTTTTTATATACTAGCAATGGACATCTAGTATTTGAAATTAAACAAATAATGTCATTTATCCCTAAAATGAAATAGATATAAGCCTAACAAAATATATGCAGAATCTATATATGGAAAACTTTAAAACTCTGATGAAAAAATATAAGAGAATTTAAATAAACTCTGGGTTCATGGATCAGGTAACTCAGTAATGTTAAGATGTAAGTTCTTCCTAACTTATATAATAGATTTAGTATAGTATATATTAAATGAAATTTCCAGCAAACTATTTTGAAGACATTGACAAACTGCTTCTAAATTTTATATGGAAAGGCAAAAGACCTAGAATAGCTGATGTAAAATTGGAGGAAAAGAAGGGGGGAAAGAAAGAGTAAGAGGATGTTGGAGAAATCAAATTTCTAGACTTTTAGTCTACAATAATTAAGACAACATGGTATTGGCAAAAGGGTAGATATATAGATCAGTGAAACAGAGTAGAGTGCTCAGAAACAGACCCACATAAATATAGTCAGTCACTGACCTTTGGCAAAGGAGCAAAAGCATTTAAATGAAGAAAGGACAGTGTTTGCGACAAATGTTTCTGGAACAATTGGACATCCATATGCAAAACTTTACACATTTTGCAAAATTAACTCAAAATTGCATCATAGACTTATATATGTAAAATATAAAATTATAAAACTTCTACAAGATAATATAGAAAAAAGTCTAGATAAATTTGGTTATGAACTTTTAAATATACCAAAAGTATGATTCATGAAAGAAAAAGTTGACACATTGGACTTTATTAAAATTAAAAATGTCTCTTTTGAGAAAGATACTATTAAGAGAATCAAAAGACAAGTCACAGACCAGGAGGAAATTTTTACGAAACATATATTTGTAAAAGGACTTGTATTTAAACTATAAAAAGAACTTTTAAAATTAAAAAAATAAGAACACAAACAACCCAATTAAAACATGTTCAAAAGATCTGAATAAACAGCTCAAAAGATGATATATACATGGCAAATACTTGCATTAAAAGATTTCAGTATCACTTGTCATTTGGGATTTTAAAATTAAAACAAGAATGAGATATTATTACATGGC